AAGACTGACTATGGCAAACTTTGAACCGTCTTTATGACACAATGCATCAAATAGGAGTTCACAATATTTCACTTACGAGGGAACCTTTTCAGATGATACCCTCCGTTTTGATTCGTTCGTATCTCATTTAATCGAGTATATTGAGGTAGTAAAAAGCCTAAAGGAATTTTTCCCCAATGTTCTTCCTTCAAAAGTTATGCTCGTTTTATTGAATTTTCGACCCCATTCCCAGGTATTTACGAAAAAATCAAAATAGGGAATTTCGACTTGATATTTCGCCCATAGATAGGCCTAANGAATGACGGAGAGCGAAAGCATATTGCAAGCGAAAAGTTTTGAGAATACATCCTATTCCGCGATGTTGAACATTACGGAATCAATTCCCTCCGATTCCCAGAACTCGATTAGCGTGCTACAGCGCAGGCCCAGTCAACATTGATCGAGTTCCGGTAATTACCGGAATTCCTGGAATTCGATTGAAATGCAATTCATTGGAATTCTGGGAACTTCTTCCGATTCCGGAATTCCTGGTAATGTTTCTAATTCCGGAATTGCTCTGAATTCCTTTAAATTTCGAGTAACTCCTTTTCGACTTAGTTCCCGGAATTCCGGGAATCGACAGAACTCGATTAATGTCGATTAGGTCTCTTATATTGAATGATGATGGAGTTCCCGGAATTGGATGGAAGCGATTCCGCAATTCTGAACATTGCGGAATTTGATGACTGCTCAAAGTTTTCTGATAAACTATTTTATTGTTATAGCCCACATCAGTCTTCTTCATACATGACAGCGGTTGCACATTGAATTATTTTTGTACTACTAGCTAGATTCGAAATGTTGCGATCAAAGAGGTCGATAGAAAATATTTATGTATGATAGTGATAAGCTTCGACAAAATACTCGAAGCATAGAAATTTACGGCAGTAACTGCATTGAATAAAGGGCAGTAAGTGACAGTTCGACTGCTGACAAAAGCTACCATCGACATTAAAACAAATTTTGTTGATGGATTCGAAATCTCCTGAATGTTGATCGAAGTCACCTGTTGTGAAGCATGAATACTTTACCCTATATATGAGCAGAGATGATGGCAGCTGGTTGTGAATTAGAGAATTTAAGCGTATTATATTGTTTCGCTCAGATAAGTTAATGGCAATATCATCGAGTTGACTATGATCGAAAATACGCCGAGCAATCAATTTCGATTGTCTATTGAAATAAACATCAAGTGGTTGAATGCGCGATGTAGTATAAGCAGGTATTTCTAGTCTTTTACGTCCCTTGAAGCCAGAGTATACAGTTGAATTTCACTGATCGAACCAATAATCCGAAAGCAGGAGAAAGTTCGCTGGAGGAAACGGACGAAGAACGTGATTCTCCAGTATTTCACAAATGAGATGGTGAGTTTCCCTGGAGAACTGCATGTAACAACAATGTTCGGGGCAGAAAAAAATGTGTTTTTGATATATAATAAAGGACATATCGTTTTATTCTACAAGAAACATGAAGTTGGTCTAGTCACTGTCGCTCATCTTCCGCTTTGGCTCCCTCAAGCAAAGAAAAACAGAATCGACGAGTTTTCCAACAAGATATATCATTTATTGAATAGTTTAAGAGTGCGTTGTGGTATTCTTTGACTTCACACGAGCCAACGTAGCATTTTTGCCCTCATATCAGAGTGTTCTAGTCGATTGAAGTTCAAGTTTCAGGCCAATCTGATCAGTATTTAAAATTTGTTCAGGTACATAGTCCTTCATCTCTCATTTCACATCGGCTAAAAAGGAATCAGCAGATGTAATGATAGCATTAGAATTTTCTGCATGATGACGGGTCACTAGTTTCGTGAGTTTTCTCGAACAAATACGGTGGCGACCTTTGAAGACTCGCTGCCAATATCCAGATGCTTCAAATGTAAGAGCAGAATCCTCAGCAGCTTTTTGAAGTATCCATCGTTCCAGATCCCGATCGTGTACAGAGAGAAGAGCGTCTCGAGCTTCTTCAAACTTGTCATAAACAAATCATCGATAAACTGTATCTTCGCTCGATTTGTACCACCTTGTTCGATGTAATGACGAAAGTGGGCAAGATCTTGTTGGTGAGTACCGAATTTGAACCGATGCTGTGTCGACTTCCGCCTGTGTTTTATTCTGTTTTTCGAATCACGCTCATCGTAATAATCAATAGCTTTTCCCATGTAGTCGAGACTGAAGTTCAGTTTAATTGGAGGTTTTTCAGCTTTCGCAGTCTCATTAAAACTGGGATCAAGATTTTCGTTTTCAGAAGCAATACTTTCATCTTCAAATTCACTAAATTCGTCGTCATCATCGTAATCAAGGGTCACATCTGAATCGGGTTCGAACGATGTACGGTTGCAAATATTGTCAATTACTTTTAACAATGAAATATTTATTTCTTCCCCACGTGGATTTGTTTGGAATCGTAGACGGCGTAGTTCTTCATTTTCAGTCCCTCGATCCACTAAAAGCTTTGCAATTCTCGTAGGACTAATCATCCTTCTCGTTACACATTTGACGGTAAAAAATATCTTACAACGAAGACTCACGCGAACCACGTGTATCACAGCATGCTTTTGCTTATTACGATAATCATAACGCAGTAGCTATCATGTGCAACAACAGAACGTGATAAAATGTGTGTAGTACGCATTTTTTTTCAATTTCATATCGTCCACTCAAGCAGACAAACTTTTTAGAAAACGCGTTTAAACGCACAGAAATTGGCCTAAAATCGGCAAAAAGTGGACGTTTCTGGCCCACACTCGCGGTTCCCGACTGTGAGCCAAAAGCATCCATTTTTTGCCCTTTTTGTGCGTTTAAATGCGTTTTCAGACAAGAAACGCATACAAAAAGAGAAAAAAGTTGTCTTGTTTTTTCAACTCCAGAAACATTATTACAATCATGATCATGCATCTCGAATATGAAAAACGACCACTTTTTCTCTTTTCCGTATACGTGTAAACGCGTTTATTGTCTGAAAACGCGTTTAAACGAACAAACACGGCGAAAAATAAGCGTTTTTGGCTCACAGTCGGGAACCTCAAGTGTGATCCAAAAACGCCTACTTTTTGCTGATTTTAGGTCAATTTTTGTGCATTTAAACGCGTTTTCTCAAAAGTTTGTCTGCCTGGGCAGCAGATGTGTCTGTGACGATGTTTTGGTTTATGAAAAATTTATTGTAAGCTAGATACATGAAGCAAAAGTCTGTGAACTTCAGGATAATATGCTGATGATCAGAAAAATTTATCAGAAAAAGTTTAGCTTGTAATACGTTTTCGTTCGTGGGTGTGGGTGTGGGTGTGGGTGGATGTGTGTGGGTGTGGGTGGATGTGTGTGGGTGGGGGTGGGGGTGTGGATGGGATGTGGGTGTGGGTGTGGGTGTGGGTGTGGGTGTGGATGTGGATGTTAGTATTGCTTTAACCATAAGTCACACCCACACCCAAACCCACATTCACACCGACACCCATGCCCACACCCACGCCACACGCCCACACCCCACGCCCACACCCCACGCCCACACCCCACGCCCACACCCCACGCCCACACCCCACGCCCACACCCCACACCCACACCCACTCACACCCTTTCTTTTTAAAAGTTTTCTTTGCTTGCGGGTAGATTAGTAAGTACAGTGTACAATGCAATGTTTCACAAAATAATTATGTCCTTACTCAAGGAAAGAATGTTTAGATGAAAAAAAAAAGAATTTTCGATTGAAATTGTTCATTTGTTTCAATCATTCAAATGTTTTGCAAGTTGTAATCATTTCAGAAAGTGTTTTTTCGTTACTCGAAATATATACTTTAATCTGTGCGTGTATTCTTTTATATACACTGTAAAAAATCAAGACATATGAAATGTATAAACAAGACGATTCGTTCGTTTAGTCAAGACACTTGAAGCAGTTTCTGATTGGTCGCTAAACATCTAAATTAGACACTTCAAGTGTCAACGGATAACCGATTTTAGACACTGACATGTCTTAATCGCTCCTGATTGAACTATTTCCACCAATGTATATGAGCGTCTTGCATCTGTCTTTTCTAGACACTTCAGCTAATCTATGACTTACAAATTCTAGAATAGACACGATTTTATATGAATATTAGATATAAAGTAAAATATTTTCAATAAGATAATTTTTTTCATAAATTTCACTTGCGTTCAAATTAAACTAAAAAATTAGACAAAAAAATCACGAAAATTTAAAAAAAACTTCCTCGTGCGTTTTTCAAATGTTAGGGGAAATTTAAAAAAAAGTTATCCAATAAAATATTATACTATTGAAAATATTTTATCTTAATAAATCTTTTTTTTTCGAATTTCACTTAACATTTTAAAAATATATGACGAAGTTTTTTGGAATTTTTTTTTGTCTAATTCTTTAGTTTAATTTGAGCACGAGTGAAATTTATGAAAAAGATTATCTTATTGAAAATATTTTCCTTATATTTAATATTCATATAAAACGGTGTCTATTCTAGAATTTGTAAGTCATAGATTAGCTGAAGTGTCTGAAAAACTAACGCTAGACAAGTCTGCAAGTGAAAATTAAAAAAAGCAATTACGAGAAGGGAGTTTTTATAAAATTTCAAGTTAAGAATCAGATAAGCATTTAAAGTCTATCTTATTCTCTATTGTGTATCCGGTTAAATCTTCTTGCTCAGCCTAATTTAAATTACCTTCGCATTTTACTTTACTTCAAAATGTTGTTTAAGAATATTATAGTTATGGAATACACTTCTACCAAGGTAATATCGACAATATTAATATTATCTAGAATAAAAAAATAAATGACAAAATTTTATATCAGAAATTAGTAAACAATAACTTGTTTAGTCTCATCTATATAGTTATAAATCCAATTGAGACACCGTACAAGACTAGATAAATACAAAAAGAAAATCAACACGTGTATAAAGAAAAATGGCACAAACAGAAAAAAATCTTAGTATAGTTTTAGCTATACTATCATATAGTTCAACTTCTTTTTTTACATTTTTTGGCAAGCATTTCAAGTAATTTTTGAGCAGGTAAATGATTGAGATTCACATACGTGATAACAAGAAGTGTCAATAACTTATGAACACCACTAACTGTAATCGAGACAAGCATTTTATACGGCAAGTTTTTGACAAACATAAAAGCTTTTTCACAACCTGTTGCACCTGATGGCATTATTAAGATTCCGATGATAGGATGAGGATCAGTGAGGCCATTCTAAATCAAACGAAACCAAGGCTTGTGATTAATAAAATTGAAAGTGCTTTACTTTATAAAATATATTTTGTTCATGAAGATCTTCACATAAATTTTGTATTGCCAAAAAATCAGCTTCACAGACCTACATAAAGAACAATAGAATCAAAAGAAAATAACCAGTCGAACAAGCCACTTACTTGAAGTTCATTTTTAATTAAACATTTACAATTAATATCATCAGATATTATTCGAGCTTCATTTTGAAATTCTTCATATGAACATAATTTATTTTTCATTAATGAATATTCATAAATAAGCTACAGCAAAACTTGATATGACAATGAATTCAAACAATTAAGAGGAACCGATTTGAAAGACAGCAAGAACGACAAAAATATAAGTTGCAACCAAGAAGTGAAAATAGAATGTTGTAGTAACAAAATAAACCAAGTATAAAAACTTACTACTTCTTAGTAAAAAAATCTCTCGGTTACTGCCAGGAACTCTTTAGCATAAAGAGAAACAAATTAACATCACGTAATACTACCAACAGTTAATTTTTAGGAAAATAAGCATGCACAATAAATCATAACATCAAAAATCAGGAAGTGTAAATAGAAACAAGTTAAAAAGAAATAAAGTGTTTCACTCACATATTAAAAATCACCTGATTGCACGAGAAAACATATTTATAGAAAAAAATTGTGAAACTTCACATAATGAAGAAAAACGGATACTATCACAAAGACTATCTTTTTTCAAGAACAAAAAAAAATGAATAAGTGAAACGTATTAATTATCATTTATGTTTTTCATGTATGAAAGTAAGTTAAACAAAACAAAGAAAGTGAATAAACACAAACGGTTGGTCAACCGTAGTAACCAGTGGTTCATGTCTCGCTAAACAAGATATCAAGGCGCGTAACTGTCTATTTTACATACATGTCTAAAAACAAGGCATATCTCCTGTTTAGTACATGTCTAAACTAGACGTTAGACGGATGAACCGTCTTATAAGACATGAGGCATTTTTTACAGTGTATGTGTTGCTATCTGCAGCCATTATAGTTGCTCAAACCCTCAAAATGGTGTTTTTCTTATTTTGATTTTTCGATTGGTTGATTCTTATATCCAATGAAATTTTTTTTCGGTCGTGCTAACTCGTTGCGTCGTACTAGCTTCTCATCGATTTCTGAAGCTTAGACACCCGAAACGCGTTTTAGAAAGCATTCCATCTAATTTTTTATGCCATGGGTACAGGCATGAATACGACCGTATACGATGTCGCATTTTTCTACCTGAAAATAACAGTTCTTCAAACAAGAAAAAATACCCAGTAAATGCTGATTCATCCGAGAAATCTCTTGAGCATTTTTTTTTGAATTGGGAAAAATCCCAACCGTGATTTATGTATAAAAGAGAAGATGTGCTTGAATGTAATCTTAGAGAAAAAATTAACAGAAAAGATCACAGCAACAAAACAGTCATAGATTATAATGTCGCGAACATCACGCAACGTTGGATGGGTGCAGCGAAATGATGGTGAACGTGACCAACGTTACACGATGCCCCAAGTACTAAATGCAGATGGTTCCAGGGACAGACGATCTGGTCTATTTGAGACACCATCATTTGGAACCTCAGAAATCTTGACCCAAGGACGGTCAAGATTTTATAATGAAATCAATGCACCGCATGGTCCCGGTTAGTAGAAAGCGAATATATGTCATCAGCTTTATTTGACATTTACTTTGTATAGGTGTATATCAGTTGATGACCACAAATGGTGCCGGTAGACCAACAACTCAATATGTCGGTATGTCAAATGATGTCAGTCGACGTTTGGACGAACACGGTCTTCGTGAAAACGACAATATCATGATACAAATGAATCAAGCAGCTAACAGAGGGATGGACGTACGAGCTTGTTACGCTCCGGCTGATAATACATTGGAGGCAAGAGCACAAGAGCTGTATTTGCTAGGTCAGCGAGACTACTCTTGGAATGATAGAAATAATGGTGGAGCGGATCGTAGGTGGTGGCACTAGTTAGCAAGCCAACAGTGATGGATTTTTTAGTTAAAATAAGAATGTGACGGAAATTCTCTTAGTCCAAGTTTTCTTTTGAATAATAAAGATAACATGAATACGATAACAACAATGAATAATTAGAAGTTTCTGTTTGAAGTCTTACAAAACCAATTGACTACGTTGCGATCCATCTTCCATGATATTTTTGGGTTACTGCACACAAATCATGAGCACCAGTCGCTCTCCCTTTAGTTGAATGCGTGTGGGGTGTGGATGAGGGATGTTGGTGTGAATGAAGCATAAATTACGAACCACATGCACATCACACACCCACTCACCCAAGAGCTACGTTGATCTGTTTTATAATTGATTTATGTACACCCACACCCTCAAGCCATATAAGGCGATAGTATTGGTATTTAGACCTTATATTTCAAACTTCCTCCTTGAAAGTGACGCGTTACGCGTACCAGCTGATATATATGAGTCATAACAGCTTGTTGACGTCCTTACACAATCAACAGAAAGCAAAAATTCATACTGACAATGTTGGAAATAAAGCATTTTTTCTTCCTTTCTGCACTGGGTTACACATGCAAAAAACCACACATTGATGTGTAACGCATCTCTTTCTACACTACCTGTCGAACTTCTTCATCTCTTCTTCGATCATCTGCATGTTCAAAGCATTTTGCTTTCGACTCGTCTAGTTTGAGGGTGTGGGTGTGTGGGTGTGGGTGAAAAGAAGATCTACATTCAGATCCACACCCACACTCACCCATCATTTCGGGTATAGCCCCGCGTTTTTGGTGGATAACACCACTTTTAAATAGTTCCATCGGATAGAGAATTAAATTCTTCATCTAGCACACTCAATTAGAAAGTTAACACAAGTCGTAAAGCGAATCTGGACAAGAAATAGAGGATATTTGTTGTTGTTACACAGGGAAAAAGACAGTATTTCGGGGAGAAAGTGGTGGTTTTTGCCCGATGATCCTCCTTGAAACTTGTATCATTCGATAGAGCATAAAATTGTGCACCTAACACAAGTGCTTAGAGAGTTAACACAGGTAAGAAAGCGAATCAGGACAAGCAATACTCGAATCTGGTGCTAACTTTACTT